CAATTGCAGTTAGAGTGCAAAGATGTAGACACTGTGGTTAGGTGTTGTCAGGCATGGCTTCGACAAGGCCGTACGCAAAGAGCAAGGGGCACTGGACGCCGCCGTAGAACAACACACCGTGAAGATCGCCGCCTAAGATTATTGTCCTTAAGGGACCGTTTCTCCACTACCAGGTCCATTGCAAATGAATGATTTGCAGAACACGGAAGACATATTGGCATGCGAAGTGTTTACCGACGAATGAGAAGTTCTGACTTGTTTTCATACCGGCCACACTGGGTCCTCCCTTTAACTCGAGAACACCGACGTAATCGCCTTGAGTGGTGCAGACAACGGTCACTCTGGGATCAGGAATGGAACAGTATTGTCTTTAGTGACGAGTATCGATTTTGTTTAGGCATGCACGATGGTCGTGCTAGGGTTAGAAGGCGACGTGGTGACAGTGTTGGAGTTTTGGTTTGGTTTGGGGTGCTATAGCTTATGGTTCCAGGTCACCTTTAATCTTCATCAGAGGTAACATGAACGCGCAGCGTTATATCCACGAACTTCTAGAACCCCATCTTTTACCCTATCTTGACACCCTGGCAGATTCAACTTTCCAACAAGATAATGCCCGACCACATGTTGCAAGAGTCACAATAGACTTCTTTCAACATGATGTCACATTGTTACCATGGCCACCAAGATCTCCCGACTTATCCCCAATTGAGCACGTGTGGGATATAATGGGTAGGACATTGCTCAATTTGCAACGTCCTCCTCAGACTCTAGAAGCACTTCGAGAGGAGTTGGTGGTTGCCTGGAATGAGATACCACAGGAGGACATTGACCACCTGATCAGAAGCATGCCTAGGCGCGTTGGAGAATGCGTAGCACATCAGGGTGCATCCACACATTATTAAAGCAGTGCAATCATTTTGAAATTTTTATCATTTACTTATTATGCTTCATTAAGTACTTATACAAAATTTTATTAAAATAAAACCATTTAAACTGGGTGTTCGGATTTATATGTCACTTAGTATATAAGAAAAAGGTTCGTTCAAACACGGGTCCCAAAATTTCCAATTTTTATGGTACTTGCCTGTCTTCACAGAACTAGCTAGATTTTGCGAAATAAGCGTCTTTTTTCCAAAATCATTTTCATTCTGCTGGGAAAGTAGAAATTCTTGTAATGTAATAATGATAAAACAATCTATGTACTGGTTAATAATAAAAATAATTCTATTTACATTTAGGCAAAGCCCACGAGGCAGAGATTTTATGTTAAATAACTCTGGTGTTAAGGTACTCATACAATTTTTTGTAAGAGTCAGTGGCGTAATAAGTGTGTTAAGCGTAACAAACTTGCCGGAAGCTTACGCCAATGATGATGTGCGTGCAATCAACATGAAACATTAATGTTAGTTTGCTTCATAACTATAGTTGCAAAAATGTTTCCTTACAAAAGCTCGGGCTGTTGAAGTTTTAGGAAAAAAATGTAGATTAATTAGTGAAAGTTAATAAAGCTGCATATTTTTCAATGCAAAAATAATTTTTAGCTTTATCAGTGGCGTGCGTACGGGTATTGACTTCGATATTTTTCAAGAAAAAATAGTACGCCAATGGTTTTTTGCCAAATAAAAATTATTTTTTTCAATTTAAAACAGATGATCTTTCTTGTATTGTTTTTTTTTTCGATGCGCCATTTTGAGTAAAAAAATAAAACCGTTCTATTGTCTAACTCGCAAAATTATTATTAATTTAATTGGGACCTTGGTGGCCATTCTTGTGGCCCACCGCGGCCAATCCAACGATTTGATAAACGGTTTGTAAATAATTACAACCGCTACACTGAAAGGCGCTGATGCACCATCATGCATGTACCACATATTGTTTCTTATTATTAACGGAAAATCATCAAGCAGCAAACGCAACTGTTGTTGAAGAAAATTGAGGTAGGTCTGTCCGTCAAGTCGTCCCGGCAAGAAGAATGGGCCAATAAAGTGATTGCCAATAATTCCTGCCTATACGTTAACCGAAAATTGGTGTTAGAAATGGGTTTCGGTTACGGCATAGAGATTTTCTTCTGCCCACAAATAATTATTGTGAAAATTCTGAATGGCATTTCGAGAAAAATTAGCTTCGTCCGAAACGGAATCATTGATTCAAATTGCGGATTTTGTGTAATTTTTTGAAGATACTACTGAAAAAAAGTCACACGCTTCGGAAAATCAATGGGAAGTAATGCCTGTACTCTTAAAATGTGGTAAGGATATAACAAAAAATCCACTAAAATTCTCCAGACAATTTGATGGCAAATATTTAAGCATCTAGCGATCTTTCTCGTACTCGTTTCAGGATATTCTTCGACTTCGTGCAGCACTGCTTCCTCAATTTCAGGTGTACTCACACTTAGAGGTCTCCCTTCAGATGTTCCTTTTCTGACAGAACCAGTTTCAACAAGACGACGATGAATATTAGAAAGTGTTCGTCTATCCGCAAAGCACGATCGGGATATCTCTGGTGATCTGTCTGGCTTGCTCACCATTACCGTCGGCAAGGCCATATACATAATGCATTTCCGCCATTTCTGCATTTGAATAATTCACCATTATTAACAAGGTTGTAAAAACTAAATAATGAAAAAGACACAGCGAACAGCTTTGAGTAACAGAGACTTGTCAGATGTCAAAAGCCAG